ACCTCACTCTGCTTCAAGTAATCCATTATGTATTCCTCATGAATTCTTGTACTAGTTTATAAGCCATCTGGTGTCTCTGCCCCAGATAAGCTATTATTTCCATGGCATTTGTCCTGGAAACCACTTGATTCTCTCAAGATTTCAGGTTTGTTGTTTGCACTATAATTTCAATTATCTGATGTGTAGAATTAGGTCACTAATTTGCAGTTTATCCAGTAGAGTTGTTGTTGTTGCAGGAAGAAGAGGAACAACCTTTTCCTCAGCTGTGTACATCCCAGAGCTCAGCAGCAGTTACATTTGTAATACCCAGAATCTGGAAACAATCCAGTAACAATCAGAAGCTTAATAGTCAAACACATTGTGGTACAATTATTATTGGAATACTTCCCAACATTACCATCTATGAATGTTCTGGCACACAACAAAAAGGTTGCATTCACAAACAATGATGTTGCATGAAAGAATACAGACAAAAATAGTACACACTATACGATCCAATTGTATACGTTTCAGTAACGAAAACTAATCTAAGTGGCACAAATATCAGGCTTATCTGTCTACAAGTTGAGTTAAGAGAAGATGTGGGAACTATACCTAAGTAAAATTAATATAAATAAACAGATGGTTGCTTAGGAGGGAAAGAGGGATAGAGACGTTGATAATGACCCATGGTATGTTCCCAGTTTCAACATGAGGGAGGACAAGAGAGGGTTCCCACTCAATAGATTCCTCCACTTCTCGGGGATTTGCGGAGGGAGGTTTGGGGGAGGAGGCTGGTATGACTGCACAATTCTCCCCACACCAATTCAGCTTTCTCTTCTGTTCTCTGATGTGGGTGCCAGGTAAAAGGATGTTTCCTAAGCAAGAAACTGTAATGCAATTTTAAGGTTAGTGTCAGAAGTTCTAAGCTCCTCATGGGAGGTATTGCACCTTCACACTATCTGACAGAATTGAGGTCACCATTGAATGCAGCCCCACTGCATAATGGACAAGATAGCCCACTTGTACTATATCTGTGTAACTCTAATCCATGTGGATGGAGTGGACAGAGGGAATCGACATTGCTAGAGTGGAATTTCTTCGAGTGGGTATCTGTTCCATCCCTTCCAAAGGTGGCAACTTGGGGTTATAATCCATGTCAAAGAAGGGGAAATGGTGGCTGAGGGTGGACACCTGAGTGGATGTGTTACACAAGGAGGAGACCCAGTGCTATGTTGGTGCCTTGAGAGAGGCGCAGAGCAAGAGGACATGGTCTCCTAGCACAATTAAAGCTGATGCCCACGGGGTGAATCCGCTTTTTAGCAAAACCACCAGTGCTTTTGGAACCTGATGAGGCTGAATGGAAGCTGGCAAACCTGACTGGCTTTCCTGTGGGAGAAATGTTGGTCATATGAATGTTGATGAAATAGGTCAATGTTTGACGACTGAGGGGACTTCTAGCAACGTGCCAGTGTCTTTTAACTCCCATGACTCTTATTTCTCAGTTCACATTTACTACAGTTTTCTTACATTTGTACTAGGGTTAAAATTGATTTGTGCATCACTATTACAATAATAGGGTATTCTGTATTATCGTACATATTTACTTATCCAGTGAGAGGCATGCTTTCACATGCTGTGTTGAAATTAGCATCCTTTTGTTTCAACATACAAATCATGTTTACTTAGGAAACTGTGTGCAGATGTTTATGACAGCCCAATTTATAAGCAATACAAAGCGGCAGCAACCAAGATGTCCTCCAATATAGGAATGAATAAACAATGGAATGTAATTGAGTGAGGACTGAACACAGACCGTTCACCATGGAGTTTGGGCTGAGCTGGATGGACTAGAAGTGGAAATACAGTATTTCTTGGGGTGGTGGAAGTGTTCACCAACTTGACTGTGGTCTTGGTTACAGGACTGTTTTAGCTTCCCATATTTATATTAGACTTCCATACAAATCTAATTGTCTTGCTTATATACAAGCATTAATAAAATTATATTCAAAAATTTTTATCTGAAACTATGTGTTCTGCTCAGTCTTAGGTTTGTGATTTTTCTTTTTGTGTGTGTGTGTGTGTGAGGAATATCAGCCCTGAGCTAAAATGCATGCTAATCCTCCTCATTTTGCTGAGGAAGACCGGCTCTGAGCTAACATCAATTGCCAATCCTCCTCCATTTTTTACTTCCCCAAAGCCCCAGTAGATAGTTGTATGTCATAGTTGCACATCCTTCTAGTTGCTGTATGTGGGACATGGCCTCAGCATCGCCAGAGAAGCTGTGCGATGGTGTGCATCGGGGATCTGAACCCAGTTTGCCAGTAGTGGAGCGCGTGCACTTAACCGCTAAGCCACGGGGCCGGCCCAGGTTTGTGATTTTTCAATGACTATGTACAGTGGATTTTTCTATGAGTAGATGGATAGATGATTGATAGATAGATAGATAGATAGATAGATAGATAGATAGATAGATAAATAGATAGATAGAAGGTATTCAGTTCAATTAAATAAAGTCAAAATTTCTATAGTAGGACTAGAGGGTTCAGCAGCTGAGATGGAATAGATGTTACAATTATTATGAGAATGATATCAAGGTAATCGATGGCTAGAGATTGGGGAGTTTTATCTACGTCGGATCTTTAGTCATTACAAATATTACCGAGTATTCTTGACCAAAGAATAGCAAACTCATTGTTATATCCTCAAGGATTGACAAGGATTTACCTGAAGGAGGACCACAGATGAAGGACACAAGGATGCTGCTGGTCTGCAAAAGGGTCACCTGGCATGAGATTCAAAGGAGCCATAAATATTAGAGTAGAGGGACAGTGATAAGGACACAGCAGGGCAGAGCTCTTGTTCCTGAACGTCCCAGAGCCCAGGACACCCCGAGATGTAGGACCCTGAGACCACCAGGAAGAGGAAACTGTAAGAACTCTGGAGTGAGGTCTAATCTGCAAGAGGCACTCAGGACCCTCTGAGCACAGATCCCAGACTGAGGGCAGGTACAGAGGGAGGCTGGGGACTGAGGGGTGTGCTCTTGGGGTCTGCAGTTTCCTTTCAGTCAGCAAATCAATGCCTTGGGCCCACGTCCACCCTCCTGCCGCTGAGCCACCATTTCACATGTAACACCAGATACTGAGAAAGTGAGACAACTACTGCTGTGCCATCATCAGCTCTATATCAGGAAGTTACAATCCACAGTCTTTGTTTTTATCCTTGTGTGTTCTCCATTTAAAAGTGTGATTATATTCTAATGAAATTGGTTAGGGTTCTCTGACATGTTATAGGCTGTCTTAAGAGAAATGTGTGCACAGAGCCTTAGACCTAATTACACAGCCTCCAACTTCTGGAAAGAGGCATCTCCTAGCTGCTTACACAGAAAATAGTGCTTCTCAGTTAAAATTAATGTCGCAGTGCTCAATATGAGGGGAATAGTATTGTGAGAATTCCTCTTTCTGTTTTTACAATTATATATACATATTTCCAAAAGTTAACATTAAAGCATCTATTTCTTTATGAAAATAAGACTTTGAAAAAGGTAGTGATTGTGGATATCTTTATCCATTTCTATGATTTTGATGAGGTGATTAACCATGATGTCAAACCCCTGAACTGTCTTTGCAATGATGCCTAAATGTACTTGCACATGTGTGTGGAGTCTCCTCACCCTGCTCAGCATGTGCCTTGCAGTACTATGAATGATGCTGGTGCAATTTCCTGTTAGAACTAGACACCAAATGTTATATTACAGTACTTTCCACGGTAGTCCCCATTCATTTTTGACAAGGCAACATTTATTTGAACATCATGTCTTCCTTGTCTAGTTACTGAAGGACTGTGTGTGGTATCAAAAGAATTGTTATGAAGTTTTTATATAAAACTATTCCCTCCAGCACACATCCCCTACCTCTGTTAATCTCCTTGTGTCTGGGGACAATTCTGAGTTGCAGAATTGGAGAAATGGATTCTTGTACTAACAATTTTGTAAGACTTGTTCCCAGTAGAAACAGTCAAGGATGTGAGGTCAACAGGGCAGGTAAGTGGAAGGAGATGAGCACAGGTGTCGTGTCCACAAATCCCCAGAGAGGAGCCTCAGCCTGCCCTGCAGAGGGGCTCTGGGGGTGAACAGGGCTCACCGTTTACACACCAGAGACAAAGGAGCTGGGATTTCACGTCCCTGCTCATGTGGCTAATGGTGAATAAATGCTGACCATGTGCGGGGCACATCCCATCCAGTGTGTAAAGGGGACATGCTGGGTTCAGGTGAGTGACAGATCGAGGACACCTGTGGGTCCACCTGAAGTTTGCAACATGTGGCGTCTTCTCCACTCACAAGTGCACAAGATGGACGGAGCACAAGGCCCACCTGGAACTCACGTATCACAATAATACAACAAGGTAACTCTCAGTGTGATGACAACCACGTCACAGAAGTGATTACAGGGAAAGAGAGCAGGAGCTGCACTGGGCTCATCATGGAGGAGTCGAGACCTGGATCACGAGTGGATGGTGGAGAGTTAGGCTGGGTACAAGGTGGGAATGGAGGGGCAGAGGCCCGGAGGAAGGTAGCTCTGGGTTGGGAAAATTGGGGAGTCAATAAATATCTTTAAAAAGAGCCTCAAAGACCAAGTGTCTCCTATCCCAGACTAAATAAAAACTCTACAGTCAGGAGAAGGTATGCCCACAGAGTCCCTGGAAGGACTGTGGACACTGATCTGAGTTCCTCCCCACTTATAAGGACAGGCCTCACCACATGTAAATTTTTCTTCAAGGTCCAGAGTAAAATCCAGTCTTGGGCTGTGGGAGCTCACGGCTCTCTCCTCAGACATGGCTGAAGTCTCTGGGGAAGGCAGAGCTGTGGTCTAGAAGAAGATGAGACTTGTAGGTCTTCTCCTTTGTATGGTGATGGATCCCCAAGGTGAGTGTCTCTGATGTCACAGCGGGGTCTATGGTGATGGTTGTGACTCCACGTGACTGACAGGAACTGATTATCCTGGTCGCAAGGTGTCCTGTCCCAGGTGTAGCTGCAGGAGTCAGGCCTAGGACTGGTGAAGCCCTCCCAGACCCTCTCCCTCACCTGCACTTTCTCTGCAGTCTCCATGACAACCAGCACTTACTACCAGACCTGGATCCGCCAGCCCCCAGGAAAGAGCCTGGAGTACATGAGGTACATAAGTTATAGTGGTAGCACTGACTACAACCCGTCCCACAAGAGCCGTATCTCCATCTTCAGAGACACGTCCAAGAAGCAGTTCTCCCTGCAACTGAGTTCTGTGACCACAGAGGACATGGCCGTGTATGACTCCGCAAAAGGCATAGTGAGGGGAAGGCAGTGTGAGTCCAGACACAAACCTATCTGCAGTCAGAAAAGAGGGGCTGCACTGCAGGGGGCGCCCAGACCACCAGGGGTTGCTCAGGACCCACCGAGCACAGGGCTGAGCCCAAGAGCATGTGCAGAGGGAGGCTGGAGGGGTTTCTTATTAGAATCTGTGGTTTTCTCTTCCTGCACAGCAACTCCACCAGGGACACTATAGATTGTATTTTATCAATGTTGTGTTTTATGTCGCTTTCCGAAAATATTATTGTTTTTTATTTAGGAATTAAGGTGTTTCTTTACCACCTATTTTTCTTCTTCTCAAAGGAGTTACATATAACAGGAGGTGCCCCATAGTTTTCAATTCGAGTCTAAAGTCTTGGAACTTGGTGAATGTCTTCAGAAGCCTAGAGGATTTTAAATCTCCTGTAAATTGTTCTTCGTGTCTGTTTGTGTTCATGAGGAAATAGGGGCCACACCCTATGGCATTGTGAGCACTGCACACGTAGGTTGACAATTGTGCAACATGCACTGCTAGAGACTTGTGATGCCAGAGTGCCCCCGTATCAGATATACAATGATCCCAGTATTCACGGATTCCATATTTGAAAATTCACCTCCACACTAAAATTTATTTGCTCACCAAAAGGAAAACTGTCATTGTTTCTGCATCATTCATGGACATTTATAGTGGGGACAGAATTGTTAGTCACTCAGCACACACACGTTCCCAGCTGAGGTCACACAGGGTTGTCTCTGCCTGCTTGTTTCAGCTCCATCAAGTAAACAAGTTCCTTATGGGGTCAACTTGGTGCCATGTTTTTCACATTTTTGTGCTTTTAATTGGTAGTTTTCCTGTTTAAAGTGTCACCATTGTATAGTGATGAGGTGCTGTTTAGTGTTCCTACACACACAAAGGCTGTGAAGTGCCTTAAGGAGAAAATATATAGAATCAATGAACTTCATTTGGGCATGAGTTATACTGCCCATGGCCATGACCCCAGTGCTAATGTATCAAATAGAATTACCTCCTAATAAGAGGAAGACCAAACTCACTATGAATTTGATGCAGCCTTGGAAACTTAGCTCGATGTCAACACAGCAGGGACAAGTGGACATTTCTGGTCAAGGAGCAGGGAGGAGTGAGTGGATAGAAGGTGATGAAGAGGAAATATCAAGGCTGGGGTTTCTGGCTAGATCGACTCCACAGGATTCTTACTGAAGGGAGGCCAGGTCGTCAGATTTAACCTGGAAGATAGCAGGGATGATGCATCTGATTGATATGAGGGTGAGCAGATGTCAAGGGTAGCGATCCTTATTATTTTGCTTAACAGGGTTCTTGATAAAACACGCCATGAAAGATGGAGACAGAGCCCAAAGGTCGAGACCTAGTTGAGAAGAGCAATTCGAGGAGGATGACTGAAGTATGGTCAAGGAGTCTGTCACCTTGTAAGAAGAGGAACAGTGGACACAAAGACACCAGGTTGCACACGCACGGAGAAGAGTCCACCTGAGGACACAGTGACAAGATGTCCATGTTCAAGCAAAGGACAAAGGCCTTAGAGGAAACGAAACCCGATGACACCTTGACCTGGACTTCCACACTCCAGATCTGTGAGCAATAAATATATGTTGCTTAAGCCACCCAGTCTGCTACTTCGTAATGGCAGCCCTAGCAAACTAATGCACAAGTGATATGGAACCAAAGACGACATCAATGAAGATAAAAGTATTAATTTGGATAATATTCCAGGATAAAATCGATAGTCTAAAGTACATAGATACAGGAAAAACAAAACAGAAAAGTAAATAAAATACTGAGAAAAAAAGACATTTGTTTTTCTGTCTTAGAAATAAAAGATAGAGATATCATAGAAAAACATATGGAAGACTAGAAATTTGTGATTTTTTAAATGAAAATATACCAAGTAATAGATTCAAAGCATGTCTAGCCATTTTTAAAAACCTAACAGGGAATCAAATCCCTTTTGAAAACCATGTAGTTATCAGAGCACAGCGATGTTCACAGAGACACAGTAGAGCTGAGGTCTGACTGCTCGGTGTAAATCAGAAAGGAAGTCATAGTCGATAGAATGGAACCGATCCAATGAACGTGGTCATGTAGGCATTTCCAAGGTCATCTCCTCCACATAAATATACAAGACTCAAGCAAAACCATCAGAATCAACTTTGTCAGAACTGTAGAGAACGGTCAAATATTTACAGTAACCAAGCAAACACTGAATCAAGAAAGACCACTTAGAAGGTGTGGGAGTGGTTGTCCCAGTGGCATGGTGATTAAGTTCACATACTCTGCTTTGGCAGCCCAGGGTTCGCAGATTCGGATCCCAGGCATGGACTGCTGCATCGCTTGTCAAGTCATGCTGTGGCGGTGTCCTATATAATGTAGAGGAAGATGGGCACAGTTGTTAGCCCAGGGCCAATCTTCATCAACAAAAAGAGGAGTATTGGCAACGGATGTTTGCTCAGAGCTAATCTTCCTCACCTACTCACAAAAAAACTGGTAGGAAAAGCGTGTGTGTGCATTTCCATTCATGCAACATATCCATAACAGAAGATCCACAGACACAGAGAGAAGTGTGTTGATGGCAAGGGGCAGGGATGGGGGAGATGAAGAGTAAACGCTAACTGAGTGTGGGGTTTCCTTTTGCGTGATGAAAATATTTGTCTTAGATAGTGGTGATGGTTACACACCAGTGTGAATGCACTAAATGCTACTCAATTGGTCACTTTAATGGGATCAATTTTATGTTATGTGAATTTAACCTTAATATTGTTTTTTTTAAAAAGCAATGAACTTGTTTTCAATGAATGACAGAAAGCAAAATTAACTATATGAAGCAAAATATCTTTCAAAATAAAAGAAAATATACACTGATTGTCCCTCACTCATTTTTCATGTCCTCTGGAATTTCATCTGCTGTTAATTCATCCGTTGCATTTTTGTTGCTAACTTCAGATATCATATTTCTTATATATAGAATGACTATTGGATTCCTCTTATGCAGTTTAACTACTGATTTACATGTCCATTCCTTCATGTATCGTATTCACCAGTTTTTCCTATTTTCTTGAGTGCATTAAATGCATTTATAGTGCAGTCTTTGTCTTCTCCATGTTGGAATCACCGTTGTGTCTCTTTTTTACAACTTTTCATTTGATTATTATTCATTTACCACTGTTTCTTCGTATGCCTTGTTATATTGGATTGAATGTGGGTCATTGTATTGTCAGAGGAATATAAGGCCCAGTAGTGAAAACTTCCCTCTAAAATGAATTCAGTTAAAATTATATTTCAGGTAAGTTTAGTTGAAATTAAAATAAATTGATAATTCCAACTCATAGAATAAATTGTACAGAGGATAAAAATGACTTGTCCTGGAATTTGTTTTATTTTATCTTCCAGAGTAACAATAATATAAAGAAAACTCTTGAGATATCATGGGTTAATCACTGAGAATCATTGACTAGATCTATAATCACAAAAGTGAATCTATGAACAATTTTGACATTTCTTCCTTCAACACTTGCAAATAGCTCTTGAAATGAGTGTGCCCGATCACCTTTCCTCTGGAGTGTAATAGATCCGTTTCACTACGATCCCCTATTTCATATTGCAAACACGTAAATCCTTTGCTGACTCCACATTTACTCTAGAATCTTGCCTTCCCTCCTGCTATGTCTACCCTCAGGAGAGACTATCTATGAAAAGCACAGACCTGCCGTGGAGAAGTGTCCAGGACACAGTGTGTATGTGGATGTCGTGTCTGACCCACAAGGGCCTCCCTTGAGCTCCATTCTCTGCCTCCGTGAGCAAAAGAAGGAAGGTAAAACAGGCTGGAAACAACAGCTAACCCAGAATTCACTGCAGATGCCATGTGCTGGTGGTGTTTGAGGTGTTATAAAGTCCAGCTCAAATCACAAATGCTCAGAATGGGTGGAGCACAAAGCTGGCCCATATCTCACAGAACAACCACAATGTAACAACATGACAACACCTAAAGGGGATGAGGACCCCACCACAGGAGAGTGTACGGGGAAAGAAGGCAGGAGCTGTGCTGGGCTCAGGACTGAGGAAGCGAGACCCAGGGCCTGAGAGGATCGGGGAGAGTCGAGCTGAGATCAAGGAGAGGCAGGATGGAGGAAGGTCTGTAAGGAAAGAAGCTCTGGGCTCAGAAAGTGGCACCAACATTGACTTGTTTTGAAGGATTCTCAAATACCAAATACCAAGTACTCTCCTTTCCTCAGGTTACACAGAAAAAGAACACAAGAGAAGAGATGCAGGCAGGGGTTCTGGGAAGACCAGGGTCAGCCAGACCTCAGTTCTTCCCCACTTATAATGACAGGGCTCTCCCGCATGAAAATTTCTCTTCAACGTCTAGGGTAAAGTCCACTCTCGGCTGTGGTACCTCATGACTCTCTCCTCAGAAAGGGCTGACGTCTCTGGGAAACACCAAGCTGCGGTCTAGAAGAAGATGAGACTGTTGGGTCTTCTCCTTTGCCTGGTGACGGCTCCTCAATGAGTGTCTCAGATGTCAGAGCTGGGTCTATGGGGATGGTGCTGACTGCATGTGACTGACGGGGACTTATTCTCCTTGTCCCCAGTTGTCCTGTCCCAGGTGCAGCTGCAGGAGTCAGACCCAGGACTGGTGAAGCCCTCACAGACCCTCTCTCTCACCAGCTCTGTGTCTGGTTACTCCATTCCCAGTGGTTATGGTTGGAAATGGATCAGTCAGCCCCCAGGGAAGGGGCTGAAATGGATGGGATACATCAGTTACAGTGGTAGCACAATATATAACCCGTCCCTCAAGGGCCGCATCACCATCTCCAGAGACACATCCAAGAGCCATTTCTCCCTGCAGCTGAGCTCTGTGACCACCGGGGACATGGCCGTGTGTTACTGTGCAAGACAGTGAGGGGAAGTCAGTGTGAGCCCAGGCACAAACCTCCCTGAAGGGAGGCAGGAGGAGCTGGGCTGCAGGGAGTGCTCATGATCACCAGCGTGTGTTCAGGGCCCACAAAGCACCGAGACCAGACGCAGGAGCAGGTGTTGATTGAGGTTAAGGTTTCCTGCCAGACTCTTTGGTTTCTTCTGCATCTGTTTCCATAGAACCTCTCTACATTTATAATACTTTTCTAACTATGGATTTTTGATTTAGGAACTTTTGGTGTAGATGGAGGGCACATTCTCACATGCACCAAATGGAGAGTGTCACTTATGGAGGCATAATGACTCTGCCAGGTCCCCAGGATCAGAGATGTGTGGAAGCTGGGGGAGATCTGGTGGATGTTTTCCAATAAGACTCAGAAAAAAGATCTCAATAGGTATCCTAGATAAGGGCAGTCTGTGGTATTCTGATTACAGCCAAGACAATCGAGGCCAGGGCCAGTGCCCTAGGGAACCTACCAGATTTTAAATCTGACCCTTCTCCTCACCCAAAAGCATCCACATCACACTTATCATTGAACACAGAACACTGATCAGATGGTTTCTTTTATTCTGTGAATCAATTTTATTTGTCCCTAATCTTTGTTATCCCAAGACCCTTTGTCCTTCTGCTCCCTGAAAAGAGATGATGTGCCGTCTGTGTCTAAATCTCAGAGCTCAGGGTCTTTGCCTGGAGCTCAGGTGTGACTCAGACTGTGGAGCCTCCAGGTACCTGGAAAGGATGATGGGAATCTCTCACTCACCATCGCCCAGGACCACCCTGAGTCCTCTGTGCAGGGATCCATTGGGAAATGTAAGTGGACATTAGTAGTCAGGGGGTAACATTTGTTTGGTCAAAGTGGGATGTTGGTGTTGATCTGTGATGGTCACACTATTGTGGAGTCACCACCCTCCTCCGTGACTTTGAGTAGGGCTGATGATGGACACTTGGGGTGTTGAGAGCTCTGGAGGGTGGAGATTGTGGGGCTGTGTAGACACACCCAATTTCCATAGGACCCAACACCAGGAAGGCCAGGCTGGAGCTCGTGGGCAAGAGCTGAGGCTTCTGTCCACCAAGGAAATTCCTCTTCTTCAGTTCTGCTCTGATTGAATCTGCCCCAACCAGGTATCTGGGATAATTTCCTATCTTAGAGTAAATAATGATAGGCTTTAATAACATCTAGAAAACACCTTCACAGGAGCATCTAGATAAAGAAGCAGAGTCAACATCTATGAAGATAAAAGTACTTTAATTGGAAAGGAAAAGTCATCCAGTCCTCAGAGATGGCAGGAAGACTAACCCCAAACCAACTACAGACACATTCTTTAGAATAATAGAAGGGCAGAGAACGATTGTGGATAAATTAACGTCCAAATTCTATTGTATTGGTGTAATTTGGAAATGAACAATATAAAATGTACTAACATTAAAATGCAATTTTTATTACCAACCAAAACTCAAAATTAGCAAAGAATATGTGTCTTATTGGATGTCCCAGAGTTGGGGGGATTGCCCTGTGAAGCTTGTAGACATTGAAGGAGAGCTGGAGAACGGAGGCACAGTACAGTGAAATCACAGAATGCGTGTTACTAAATGGCGTTCACTACATTTATAATAAAAATGCCCACACAGTGGGGTGGGATTTGGAAAGCTGGTCCTGTGACTAGTGAGAAAGCTCACAGCACATGTTTAACAAGCAAGTCCAGAATCAGAACAAGAGAAAGAGGAGGGCTGCAGGGAGCCTGGGAGGAGCCCAGGAGGCTCGGACGTGAGGAGAGGTGTAGAGACGGCCCAGCTCTAGCTGTTAATGCACGGATGTGCCTTAACGGAGTTCTCACATGAAACATTGGCAGCGAATATGAGTCCTGCTCTACTTGCTGTCACACTTCCACGCCCTGTACACTTCCCTTGAACAACGTCCCCTGTTCAGGAAGGAGAGGAACTGTGGTCATGGAATACAGAATCTGTGTCCACCCTGGATCTCAGCCAGCACCCTCCTCCAGGAGAGCCCCCGAGTGAGAGACCAGCCATGACTCTTCCCATCTTTATACACAAATGTGCCCTCAAATGCCAAAAGTGCCCTGGGCTCCTGGTGAGAACACAGCAGCTCTGCTACCCAGAGTCAGGAATCTCCTCTTCCTGGACAGAGCTCTCTGGTATTCAAGAGTTTTATCCTAAGGAACATGAAATCATCTTGTCTTTCCTCATTTTAGTGGCAGATCTCAGAAAGAACCCCGTATTTCTTATCAGCTCGTCCAGATGTTTGGCAGGTATGGAGCAAGGAGGGGTGAGACTTGAAAGTTGTCAAGAGTCGAGAATCAAAACCTGGAGTTTGAGACCTTTTACACCTAAAAATTGTAATAATACGGGGGAAAGGAAAAGGCAGGGTAATTATGGGTCAATAACAATCTGAGTCCATAGACAGTGAGAGGAATGATGTTAGAACCTGATGTGGCTGAACGGAAGCTGGCAAACCTGACAGATATTCCCCTGGGAAAAATTTAGGTCACATCACTGGTGATGAAATAGACCAGCGTGTGATGACTGACGGGAATTCTAGCAACGTGCCAGCATCTTTTAAATCCCATGACTCTTATTTTTCAGTTCGCATTTACTACAAAAGAATCCTCTGGGAATAAATTTCTGAGAGCTGCTCCCCACAAGGCCATGGCACCCTGCGTTGTACAGTCAGCTGACTATCAGTGTACAAGTATAAACATTCACCACTGAAGGCTGAGACAATTCTCCTGTTATATTAGAGGAAATACAGCCCCTGCACGCTCAGTGTGACACATTGTGCTGTTCACAAACGCAAAAACACGTATCACCATCATTCTTCTGCGAGGAAATCTATTAAGCAGAATAAAATAGATATCATTTTATTTAGTCTTCCAATGCAGAGATTCAGTGTATCTCTCCATTATTTACATATTTTTGTAATCATTCATAACCGGTTGTTTTTTCCAAAACGGCTTCACAAGGATTATGCTCTCCCACTGAGACCAAATTGCCTTGTGGGTTAAACAAAGAGATACCCTACAGGGACCCTGGAAGGACTTTGCACCCTGACCTGAGTCCCTCCCCACTCGTAAGGACAGGGCTTCCCACATGCACATTTCTCTTCAGGCTCCAGGGTAAAATCCACTCTTGGACTATGGGAGCTCACGACTCTCTCCTCAGACAGGTCTGAGGTCTCTGGGGAAGGCAGAGCTGTGGCCTAGAAGAAGATGAGACTGTTGGGTCTTCTCCTTTGCCTGGGGACAGCTCCCCAAGGTGAGTGTCTCAGATGTCAGACCTGGGTCTATGGGGAAGGTGGTGACTGCATGTCACGGATGAGGACTGATTCTCCTTGTCCCCAGTTGTCCTGTCTGAGGCGCAGCTGCAGGAGTCGGGCCCAGGACTGGTGAAGCCCTCGCAGGCCCTCTTCCTCACCTCTGCTGTCTCTGGATTCTCCATCACAACGAGTGATAACTGGTGGAACTGGATCCACCAGAGACCAGGGAAGGGGCTGGAGTGGACGGGGTGCATAAGTTATAGTGGAAGCATCTACTGCCACTCGTCCCTCAAGAGCCGCACCTCCATCTCCAGAGACCCTTCCAAGAGCCAGTTCTCCCTGCAACTGAGTTCTGTGACCACCAAGGACACAGCTGGGCTGCAGGGGGCACTCAAGACACTAGGGAGCACTCAGGTCCTGCAGATCACAGAGACTAGACCCAGGAGCAGATGCAGAGACACAACTGACCAGGGACTTTTCCATCAAATACTTATAGATTCTGTTTTTCTGTGTTGATCAAGGCAACCCACTAATGATTCTCATCATCCCTGAGAAACACCAACATATCTTCTCTGCCCTAAGATGGGCACACACTGACTCTACATGTCATGAGCATCCCCCCAGGACATCTGCCAGCGGGGTTCTTTGTTCTCCCTGCTACAGTTTAAGCTCTCTCTCATGATCCACTTGGGCGGACATTGGTAATCAGGGATTTCCCCCTTCTGTAGCTGCCCCTCAGTCTCCTGGATGGAAAGCAGCCCACCTAAGGGGATGCAGCTCTCACATTTCCCCATGAAACAAGCAGAAAGATACACACAAAGATAGGAACCCATCACAAACATGCTGAGTCATGTTCTGGGGGAGTCTCTGAAGGCAGCCCTGGGACCATGTCTCAGCTTCCACAGTGGAGTCCATGTGGGTAATGAGAAGCAGATGGACAGAGACCTGATCCCTGCCCACCCTCTGCTTCCTCCCAGTTTCCCAGAGAAACCCACCCAACCATCGCCCTTGTTTTATTTTCCTCAATTCTACCAGAGTATCCTAGACCCTGATTCCATCCTGATGGAGCCCTGATCACTCGTCCAAGATCCCCCACCAAGTGCCAGACACAGAGTGAGGCTCAGTAACAAAGCTCAACAATGATGGCGGAGACCTGCAGTGGGACTGAAAGGGGATTCTGTAGCTACAAATATGTTTCAGAAGAAAAATGAAATATCAAACAGAAATATGACGATGAAAAAGCATGAACCTTGAAAGAAACGTTAAGTTGGACTTAAAAGTTAAATCTGTTGCTCTGGAAAAGACACTGTAAGGAGAATGAAAAGACACACCACAGTCTGAGCGAGTATGTCCTCTGTGGGCGTTTCCTCTGTTCCTTTCCCAGTAACTACTGGTTTCCACTAGAGCCTTATGATGCTGGTTTGGTGGCTTTCTCCTTGCAGATTAACTACTTACTACTTGGTGGTGATTGGTGAGGTGTGTCTGGGTGCATCTCAGCAGTAGGTGCTGTTTCTCCCTCCCAAACAGAACATTCTTGTGGGAGGAGCTCTGTGGGTTCTGTCCCCAATCCCGGGGGACAAGGCTTTAATGGGAATAGATATCTCCCTAATTATGTGGCCCTGAGAATATCACACAATAGCACCTTCTCCAAACTCTGCTTCAAGTAATCCATTAAATATTTTTCATTTGTTCTTATATTAGTATAAATTAATACAAAAGATGTCTTACTAAAGACATCTGGTGATCTCTGACCCAGATAAGTTGTTGTTCCCATGCTGCTTCTCCTCGAAACCACTTGATTCTCTCCAGATTTCAGGTGTCTTGCTGCACTCTAACGTCAATTATCTGATGTATTGAAAAAAAGTCAGTAATTTGCAGTTTATCCAGTATAGTTGTTGTTGTTGTAGTTGTAATAAGAGGAACAACTTTTCCTCAGCTGTGTACATCCCAGAGCTGAGCAGCAGTTATGTTTGTACTTCCAAGAATCTGGAAACAAGCCCAATACCAATCAGAAGCTTAATAATCAAACACATTGTGGTACAATCATTCATTGGAATACTTCACATCACTACAATCTATGAACGCCTCACCCAAACAACAGAATGGTTGCATTCACAAGCATGATGTGGAGTGAAAGAATACAGACAAATAAAATACATATTATATGATCCATTTGTACACATTTCAGTAACTGAAAACTAATCTAAAGTAACACAAAGATCAGGAGTTGACTGTCTACAAGTTGGGCTAAGGGAAGACGTGGGAATCATACCTCCTTAAAACGACTACCAATAAACAAATGGATAATTAGGAGGGAAAGAGGGATAGAGACGTGGATAACGATCCATGACATCTTCCTCACACTCAACATGAGGGAGGTCAAGAGAGGGTTCCCAATCAATAGACTCCCACACTTTTCAGGGGCATTTGGTGCAGGAGCTGCGCGGGAGGATGCTGGTATGACTGCACAATTCTCCCCACACCACTTCAACCCTCTCTCTTGTTCTCTGTTGTGGCTGCCAGGTAAAAGGATGGTTCCTAAGCACAAAACTGAAATATACTTTTAAACCTTCATGTCAGAAGTCTGAAGCTCCTCGTGGGAAGTGTTGCTCCTTCACACTATCTGACAGAAATGAGTTCACCAGTGAATGCAGCTCCACTGCCTAGTGGTCAAGATAGCCCATTCCTTCCATATCTGTGTAATTCTACCCCATGTAGATGGAGTGGATAGAGCGGGAGGATATTGCTAGACTGGAAATGCTTCCAGTGGGTGTCTGTACCACCTCTTCCAAAGTTGAAAACTTGGGGTTAAATTCCATGACAAATCAAGGGAAAGGGAAATGGTGGCTGAGAGTAGACACATGAGTGAATGTGTTACACAAGGAGGGAGACCCACTGCTATGTTGGTGCCTTGATTGAGGCACAGAGCAAGAGGACATTGTCTCTTAGCACAAGGAAAGCTGATACCATAGGGTGAATCAACATTTCTCAAAGACCATCACTGATTTTAGAAGTTGACGCAGCTGAATGGAATCCAGCAAACCCGACTTGGGAGAAAACTTGGTCAAATCAATGATGGTGAAATCAATCACTGTGTGATGACTGAGGGGAATTCTAACAACCTACTAGCATCTTTTAACTCTAGCATTTTTTATTTTTCAGTTTACTTTTACTACAAAGGAAATTCTCTGAGAAGAAATTTCTGAGAGCTGCTCCCCTCAAGGCCGTGGGACTCTGCATTGTACACTCAGCCAAATATCAGTGTACAAGGACACACATTCACAACTGAAGGCTGACACAACTCTCCAGTTATAATGGAGAAAATACAGCCCTGCATGCTTAGCTTGAAACAGCATGCTGTTCTCAAATACAAAAACACACACCACCATTATCCTTCTGGGTGGAAATCTATTAAGCAGAATAAAATAGATACCAACTTTATTAAGTCTTCCAATACAGAGATGCAGTGTGTCGCTCCATTATTTCCATATTTTTTTAATCTTTCATCACTGTTTTTTCTCCAAAACAACTTCATAAAGATTATGCTCTCCCATTGAGACCAGCTTGCCTTGTGAGTTAAACAAAGAGATAGCCTACAGGGACCCTGGAGGGACTGCGCACGCTGAACTGAGTCCCTCCTCGCTTATAAGAACAGGGGTCCCCACATGCAAATTTATTTTCAAGCTCTAGGGTAAAATCCACTCTTGGGCTGTGGGAGCTCACAGCTCTCTCCTCAGAAGGGCTGAGGTTTCTGGGGAAGGCAGAGCTGTGGTCTAGAAGAAGATGGGACTGTTGGGTCTTCTCCTTTGGCTGGTGTTGGCTCCCCAAGGTGAGTGTCTCAGATGTCAGACCTGGGGCTATGGGGATGCTTGTGACTGCACATGACTAACCTGGACTGATTCTCCTTGTCCCCAGGTGTCCTGTCTGACATGACACTGCAGGAGTCTGGCCCAGGGCTGGTGAAGCTCTCTCAGACCCTCTCCCTCACCTGCTCTGTTTCTGGTGATTCCCTCACTTCCAGATATTCTGCCTGGAGCTGGATCCATCAGCCCCCAGGGAAGGGGCTGGAATGTCTGGGAAGTGGTTATTATTTTGTATCATCATGGGAAACAAGCTACAGTGCCTCCACCCAGGGCCGCATCTCCATCACTGGTGACACTTCCAAGAACCAGTTCTTTCTGCAGCTGAGCTCCATGATCACCGAGGACACAGCCGTGTATTACTGTGCAGGAGGCACAGTGAGAGGAGGTCAGTGTGAGCCAAGACACAAACCTCCCTGCATGACACAGGATGCGCTGGGCTGCAGGGGATGATGATGACCAACTGAGTGCAGGGCTGATCCCCGGAGCAGGTGCAGAGGGACGCTGGGAGCGGTTTCCGGTTAGAATCTGTGGTTTCCACTTCCCACCCAGGAACTCCACCAGAGACCCTCTTCTAGGTCCTATTTTGTCAATGTTGTGTTTTATGTTGCCTTCCTAAGATAATATTATTTTTTTCTAAGTAATTAAGTTGGGCTGTTTCCCATTATTTTTCTTCTTCTTGAAGGAGCTACATACAACACTAAGATAACCATACTTTCCAATTTGAGTCTGAAGTCTTGGAGCCTGGTGAATGTGCTGAGAAGCCTAGAGGATATTAAATCCCACATAAATTGTTCTTTGTGTCTGTTTTTGTACATGAGGAAGAAGGAGTCAAACCCTCCAGCATTGTGAGCACTGCACACGTAGGTTGACAATTGTGCAATATGCACTGTCACAGACTTGTAATGCCAGAGTGCCCCCATATTGGGTACACAATGATCCTCAGTATTCACAGGTCTCATATTTGGAAAGTCACCTCATCATTAAAATCCATTTGCTCCCCAGCATGAATGCTGTCATTGTTTCTGCATCATTCGTGGACATCTACAGTGGGGACAGCATTGTGAGTCACTCAGTATGCACACGTTCCCAGCTGAGGTCACACAGCGTGGTCTCTGCCTTCTTGTTTCAGCTCCATCGTAAGCTGAGGTGCTGGCTGCTGGTCCTCAGCACAAGTGGCTGTGAAGAACCTTAAGGAGAAAGCGTATATGACAGACCCACCTCATCCAGACATGAGTTATGCTGCCCTTGGCTGCCACAAAGGGAAGACAACACTCACTGAAGGGTCTGTGAGGCTGCCCTGAGAGTCCTAAGGTAACATCTCAGGTGTGTGATGAAGCCTGGAAGAAACAGAAACGGGGCCAAATCTGTGGATTGTGAGGTGATGACCACAGAGAAGTGCAGTGGGCAGCACTGAGTGAGACTGAAAGGTGAAGAAACGTACAGTCGTGTCACCCCAGCTCAGGACAGTCTTCACCCCTTCTTGGCTGGTGCTGCCTGGTTCACACATCTCAAAAGGTGAAACAGTGAGAAAAATGTGAAACTTGCAGCTGAGGCAGGTTCTGCAGGTCAGGAGGCTGTGGAAGAGTAGTTACAGTGTCTGCTAAGAGAGGAACAAGAAAAGGAGGACGTGGAAGAACCAGTTCCTAACCTCCGAGGACACTGACTTGCTTTACACGGGTGTCGGCAAGTGAGCATATTTAATGCAAGTGGCATGCTGTGTAAAGAAACTGTGGTGACCAGATGCTGGCAAGAGCCTCGCCCTGAACTTCCACCAGGAGCAACAGTTTAATATTCTCTAATGCAGTGCTCACAGCAACACCACAGGAAAGGACCAGTGTTAACAATGAGAATGAACTGTATACTACACTTTGTGCATTCTGTTTATGTAATAGTGAAAAACATTT